CGCGCCCCGCCCCGCCCGCGCGCGGCCCGTCACTCACAGTCTCCGCCTCCCCGCGCGCAGCCCGGCCCGCCAGCACAGCCCCGCCGCCATCGCGCCGCCGCCACACGCCCCGCGCTCCCATTGGCTGCGGTGGGGGGGGCCGCGGCACGCCCACACGGCGCGCTCGGCTCTGACGTCACGGCGGAGGCGCGCCGCCGGGTCGCTGGCGCGCTCCCGCTGCTGCCGCCTCCGGGCCCCGAGCCCGCTGTGGCCGGGATGCTCCAGCTCCAGCTCCGCTCCTCCCGGGGCGCAAGGGACTGCCGTGCGTGGGAACAGAGCGTTCTGCAGAGGATAAAGAGACAAGACCATAGGAAGTAGCAATGGGCGGGGTAGGAAAGAAACTAACTTGAGAAGAAAAGGGTCCGGAAAAGGAAATAGGGATTCTGATTCTATTTTCCATCAGTCCAAACTTAGACTGAGCATATAATATAATTTTCTTTGCCGTGATGCTGGAATGTGCCAGAGCCACAAAGCATAATCCCAGCAAGCTCTTCCAATAACGTAGCTATTTCAGTTTCATTTCCAAAGGACACGAGCTCGGATCATGTCCGTTCTGTCCTGTCATCTCTCATTCCTGCCCTTCCACAGCAGCTGAACGTGTTGCCCTGGCCATGAGAGAGAGATCCCCAACTGCAGCAGCTTTCATAAAAACAGGAGATGGATAATGTAATTACCCCCAACCAGAGCCCCCATTCCTTGGCAAACCCAGGTTCACATCCACGCAGGTTCATTGCAAGTCTTCATGGAAGGGCTTTTTTCTTTCCTAGGGTCACTGAGTTTTGCCATATAACTTTGTTCTCCTCCTGATACACAACTGGCTTTTCTTTGTCAGAGAGCTGTGTGGAAATTTTCCAGTGTGGCTTAACATCACTTTATTGGGAAAGTGGTGTCAGCAAAACATGAGTTTCCCCTCCTAGCAAAAACAAAATAAGCTGTTTTGCAGAGCTGTGCTGAACCGTGAACGTGACCTGCTCTCAGCTTCCCTCCCCTGTGTAATGTTGCGTGCAAGGCACGGGTGATACCACTTGAATCTGACACACTGGGATAACAAACATTTCCTTATCACCAGCAGCATGACAGCATTAACCCTTCTCTGCACAGGTCCAGTGAACTGTGTGTGGCAGAGACTGTTCCTTCTCCTTCCTGTCACTGCTGCCTCCTTTGCTCTCTCCTTCTTGGGGAACTTCCTCATGAAGGATGGTATTGCACAACATGGTGGAGGAGAACCTTGGACTTGTCTCCTTGCCCCTCTCTTATTTCTGTAGGGACAGATTTCCTTCCTGTCACCTCTCTTGTCTTCCCCCTTCCAGCTCCAAGACTCCCAGGTGTACAAAATGCTCTCCTTCCCCACTTCACTGATGAGGATGGCCTGCAGTGGGGAAAAAAAAAAAAAAAAAAAGAGATATGTGACACCTGATAGACCCTCTTGGCTGTTGTTTCTCTATGAGAGAGCAGAGCAGAGCAGAGCAGCTGCCTGGAGAGGATGTGAGCAGGGGTACAGCCAGACCAGGCAGAACCCCTGAAATATGCATCACGGAACCACAGAATATCCTGACTTAGAAGGGACGCACAAGGATTATCAAAGTCCAACTCCTGGCCCTCCACAGGACATCCCAAGAATCACACCATGTGCCTGAGAGCATTTTCAAATGCCTCTTGAGCTCTGTCAGGCTGGTGCTGTGACCACTGCCCTGGGGAGCCTGTTCCAGTGCCAAGACACCCTCTGGGGCAGAACCTTTTCCTAATATCCAACCCAAACCTTCCCTGACACGACTTCATGCCTTTCCATCGAGTCCTGTCACTGGACACCAGAGACAAGAGAAGAATCTTCCTTGCAGGAACAGCATTTAGTGTGACATCAGGGGGAGGCAGAACACTGTGCTGACATGAGCAGCTGTCAGGTTTTGTCAGAAGTCCAAATAACTTTCTTCAGCATTAGCAGCTGAGTGTGGGTTTTACAGCCAGTGCAGGCAAACCTGGAGTATCCCGACCTGTTGCATCCCCTTGACTTGTAAATGATCAGGAGAACACAGGGACATTAATAGAATCTCATCTTTTCCCTTCTGTATTCTGGGAAGACTTACTGTATCTGTCTCATCCTTTTAAAATGGGAAGCCTTTTAAAGATGCTAAGTTTTCACTTAATTGGATTAAGCCAGTGTAACATTTTCCAGGATTCTCAGAAGGTACTTACGAGCCTAACTCTCATTGGCATCCTCAGGAGTTAGGTGTGAGGTACTTTTGAGGATGTGAATCCTGCAGCAGCAGTATGGTTGGGGCTAAGATCCCTGGAGCCCTGTGTACATGAAGGATATGTGCAGAAAAGGGTTGCTGCGCTAATTTGGGACTGCTCATCAGAATTACAGTACTTCCTGTGAGTGCTGTTGGGTTTTGTGTCTCCTTGCAAAATCTCATGTGCACAAATGTTTCAGCTCAACGTGAGATAACTGCACACAAATTAATGAGAGAGAGGGATCCTGCAATTTATCAGATAGATAATAAATTGTGAAGGTCAAATGACTCATGGACCGTGCTGGTGAAAATAATTTAGCAACTATAATGGATTAGGAAAAATATTCTAAAAAAAGATAACTACCTATGAGTTTTTCTTCTCATATTTCAATAAAGCATCACACCAAACACCGTGTACATTTAATGTATTTTTTTTTAATTGCTGGATTTAAAACACCTTATTTGTAATCTTGGTCTGGTATCTTCTGAGATGTTGAACGAATAAGGTTGCTACAAAAGAGCAAATATTTTGGCAGGATATGTGGTGGTCCTTTTTCTACAAGCATTTTCTAATTCTATGATGATCTCTTAATGGTATGATAGTGACAAACCCAAACATTTTTGAATGAGAAAGGAAAAAAGCAGTGTACTACTGCAGTACTGTAGAACTATTAATAAACCATGCTGATAAAAAGAAATATTTTTTATTGGAATCTTAGTAGAAAAAAAGCTGCTGCCTGAAGCTATTGCATGTCCGTGTCCTCTTGACACTCATTTACTTTGATTTTCAAGAGAGAAATGAGCATCATAACAGCCAGGGCATGTTGTGCCTTCCTCTTTGTGTTTGTGTGAACACAAAAGGATGTCCTCCTCAGCTCACTGTGCAAGAATGGGAAGCAAATAACTGTTGGCACCAATCTGGCTGAGGTTCCTGTGCCTCTTTCCGACAGGCACTCATTTTTGCTGGCCAGCAGTGTTACAGTGCTCCTGTGGTGAGCTGCTGCTTTGGGCCTGAGCTCCTACCTGCCCAAGTGTTTGCTGCCTCCCAGCTTGGAGACCACTGATCACCAGGGAGCTTTGTCCTGCGCTGCCTGCTGTGCCACCAGACAGCTCACAGCGCTCCCTCATGTTACACATCTCCTCCCGTAGGACGAGAGCCAAAGGAGGAATGTGCTTTCCCAGCACCAAAAAGTTTTGAGAATCTTCCCCAAAACTGTGTTATCATACAACTAGAAAAAAGCCAGCATTTTCACAGTGAAAAATTAATTGTTCAGTGTCTATTCATTGCACTGTTATGTTCAATGGAATTGCACTGCATGTCGTATCCGAGCAGTGCATTGTGTTTTAATCCACCATAAATCCATGTAGAGTACATCATCTGGGACATTTAGCGTGATGGAAGGTGGATTTTGGGGAAAACAGATTGAATAGCCCTGGTATATTGAGACAGGATCATTTTGTCAGGAAAAACTT